AATTGCTTATTGCATAGCTCTGCATGGCCATTGTGCAAGCATTTCAAACTCAAGATGCCCCAGAGTAAACTCATAGTTCTTTCAACAATTATTTATTGAGCACTTACTGTGCATCAGGTACTGCTCTAGGTTCTGGATCTACCAATCTAACTAACCTAAATAGACAATCTCTGACTTCATGAAATTTTACTGTCTAGCTGGGGAGACAAAGAGTAAAACAAGCAGCATCTGTTGTGATCAGTGCTGTAAAGAAAAATGAAGCAGAGTAAGTAGACAGAGAGAGATGGAGAGGGCCACGTGGTAGGTAGAATAATTGCCTCACAAAGATGTTGACCTCATCCACTAAACTCTGGAAGCAGCAAATGTGTTTCACCATTTGGGAAAAGGGATTTTGCAGATGTGATTAAGGTTAAGAACCTTTAGATAGGTAGATTATCCAGGATTATGTAGATGGACCTAGTACAATAACATGGAAGAGGAAGGCAGAATGGTGAGTCAGAGAGATGTGACAATGACAATGGAAGAAGAGTCAGGAGAGATTCAAAGTGTGCAAGGGACTCAACCCACCACTGCTGGCTTTGAAGATGGAGGAAGGGGTCACCAGGCAAGGAATGTAGCAGCCTATAGAGGCTAGAAATGGCCCTCAGTTTACAAGAAGCAGAAAATGGGGATATCAGTCCTACATCCACAAAGAACTAAATACTGACAACATGAATGAATAGAAAACAGGTTCTCCCCCAGAGTCTCCAGAAAGTAACAGAGGCTTGTCAGTACCTTGATGCTAGCCTGGCAATCCTGTGCCCACTGACCTATAGAACAACAAGCTAATAAATTTGTATTGTTTTTTTTTAAAGATTTTATTTATTTATTTGAAAGAGAGAGAACACACAGGGAGAGGGGGAGGGAGAAACAGACTCCCTGCTATGCAGAGAGGCCAACATGGATCCTGATCCCAGGACCCTGAAATCATGACCTGAGCAGAAGGCTGATGCTTAACTGACTGAGCCACCCAGGCACCCAAATTTGTGTTGTTCTAAGGCACTAAATTCTGGTGATTTGTTATGGCAGCAGTAGAAAACTAATGCAGGCTATTTTAAGTAGAGTGGTCAGGGAAAACCACTCTAAGCAGAGTCCTGCAGAAATACCTGGGGGAAGAGCTTACTGGGCCAAAATAAATGACCCTGAAGTCAGAGGACCTTGGAATATCTGAGGAACAGCAAAGAGTCCGATGTGTCTGGAATGAAGGGAGAGCAGTAGGAGCTGAGATGCCAGGAGAGGCCAGGAGCCAGCACATGTGAAGCTCTGGGGGTCACAGAACTTTGAATTATATTCTAAGCATGATGGGAAGGCACTTTGGCAGAGTAGGGACACAAGCTGACTTACACTTTTAAAAGGCTGCGAGTGTTTTAATGAGAGTGGACTGAATAGAGTAAGAGGAGAAGCAAGGAAGTTCTCTTAGGGAGCATTTTTTACTGTTATTCAACAATCTAAATAAGAAAAGAAGACACTTAGACTTGGGCGGAAGAGGCAAAGTCATGAGAAGTGATCACATAGAGGATACATGTGAAGGTAAGAGTCCACTGTATTTTCTGATGACTAGGAAGTAGGGTGGGAAAGAGAAGTCAGATGAGCAACTGAGCATATGGTGGTGCCAAATACTGAGATGGGAATAATCACAGAAGAAAGTTGGAGGGATCATGGGTTTGCTTTTGGACATGTTGAGTTTTAGAAGCTAATTAGCTGTTCAAGTCAAGATGTCAGATAACTGTTAGGTACTTGAGTCTGAAGTTCAGGGGCACAGCACAGAGGACCACAGGGGAAGGGAGGGAAAACTGAATGGGAAGTCATCAGAGAAGGAGAAAAACCATGAGAGACTCTTAACTATAGGAAACAAACTGAGGGTGGCTGGAGGGGGAGGGGGTGGGGGATGGAGTAACTGGGTGATGGGCATTAAAGAAGGCACATAACGTGATGAGCACTGGGTGTTATACACAACTGATAAATTATTGAACACTACATCTGAAACTATTGATGTACTATATGTTGGCTAACTGAATTCAAATAATAAAAAAAAAAATGAAGTTCAGGGGCAATTTGGGATAGAGGCATGTGGTGTACAGAATAATGCCCTCCACCCTGAAGATGTTGATGACCTGATCCCCAGAACCTGTGATTACTTTATGTTACATGCCAAGGGGGGATTAAAGTAGCAAATCAGCTTATTTTAAAACAAACAAACAAAAAAGAATCCTGGATCATCTGGGTTGGTCCAGTGTAGTCAAAAGGGTTCTTAAGGGACGCCTTGGTGGCTCAGTCAGTTAAGCATCTGCCTTCAGCTAAGGTCATGATCTCGAGGTCCTGGGATCAAGCCCCACATCAGGCTCCCTGCTCAGAGAGAAGCCTGCTTCTCCCTCTCCCTCTGCAGCCCCCCATGTGCTCTCTTGCTCTCTCAAATAAGTAAATAAAATATTAAAAAAAAAAAGCACTCTTAAATAGGATGAGAGAGGCAGAGGACTCAGAACCAGAGAGAAAGCATCATGAAATAGATTTGACTGACCAGTATTGGCTTTGAAGAAGGTGGAAGGGACCACAACACAGGGAATGCTGGCAGCCTCCAGAAGCTGGAAAAGACAAGGAAACAGATTCCTCCTGATAGCCTCCAGAAAGGGGCACGGCACTGATAACACCTTGATTTTAGCCCAGTGAGACTCATTTCTGAATTCTGATCTTACAGAACTGTAAAATAATAAACTTTGATGTTTGATTTTGTTTTTAAGATTTTATTTATTTTATTTGACACAGAGAGAGAGAGGGTGCGCACACAAGCAGGGGAAGTGGCAGAGGGAGAAGCAGACTCCCTGCCGAGCAGGGAGCCAGATGTGGGACTTGATCCCAGGACCCTGGGATTATGACCTGAGCCAAAGGCAGACGCTTAACCAACTGAGCCACCCAGGCCCCCCAAACTTTGATGTTTTTAAGACACTAAGTTCACGATAGGTAATTTGTTAGAGCAGCAATAGGAAACTAATACAAGCCATAATTTCATGGAAACATGTTTTTTTCTTCAGTGTACCCTGTTGGTAAGTGGCATAAACATCATCCATCTGTTCGAGGCAGGAATATGTATCATCTTTAATTCCTTCCTCTCCTTCATGCTCCAACCCAGTCAACATCAAGTTCTCTAGATTCTACTTATAAGCATTTACTCAAAGTTATTCACTGTACTATTTCTCTAATACAGATCATCATCATCATCACCACCTTTCTTCGGGAAGGAAGAAGGAGACAGTACAAACCCACCACTCTCCATTTAGCAAGCCAGAAAAAGCCTTCCAAACTGAATATTTCTGGTAATTATTCCTCTCTCCTGAAATTCTTCGATGGCTTGCTGTTTTTCTTTTCTTTTCTTTTTTAATTTTATTATTTATTTGAGAGACAGCATGAGAGGGAGGAGGGTGTTAGAGGGAGAAGCAGACTCCCCACTGAGCAGGGAGCCCATTGCGGGACTCCATCCCAGGATTCCAGGATCATGACCTGAGCCGAAGACAGTTGCTTAACCACCTCAGCCACCCAGGCGCCCTGGCTTGCTGTTTCATTCAGAATGAAGTCCAGACTGTTTGACATGTCTTGGAAGGTCCTCCAGGGTTTGCCTCCGTCCTCAGCCTTACTTCCTGACACGCATCCTCACACTAAACTTCAGACCGTAGAAAGCATTTGGAGGCCTCCTCACTTGCCACTGGCCTTCCTTGTCCCATGACTGCCTCATAGAAAAGGCTCTAATGTTCAACATCCTCCCCCATTCACCATCAGGGCTCAACTTAATCCCTTCAAATTGTTCTGATCTCCTAAACTGTAACCACCTTGGTATGAGGACCTTGAACATTTGCTTCAAACTACTCATCACAATAATCAGTGCTCTGTTTGTCTCAGGAGAACAGGGCTTTGCCTTACCTGTCTACTACTATCTCCATTCCTAGCACCCAGCATACAGGATATTTGTCAAATAATATTTGCCAGATAATAATTGCTCACTATGGAGCTGTAAATCACTATCTTTAAAATCTTGACAATGGTTCCTGTGTAATTTTTAGTAACCATTTTCTTTATAAAGTCCTTACTAATAGAGTGTTCAGATACTTTTTTAAATGCAATACTTTTGTGCCTCTCACCATTTTCACATTCTTGACTCGCCCCCCAACCCCACTTTAGAAATGGGCAGTAAAAGATAGGTGGAAGAATGGCTTTTTCTTACATTTATGTCACTCAACATGTAGCTATTGAGCACCTAAATATGCCAATCACTAAGCGCTGAGAATACAAGAAGTGAATACAATACGCATTGTCTCTGTTTTTACGGAGTTTGCATTCTAGTATGTGTGTAAGGTGAGGGGAAATCAGAAAGTAAACAAACCGAAAATTATACAGAACATGGACAGTAATAAGTGTCAAAGTCAGAAAAGTAGGTAGTTGGTGTGTGGGGGTGTGTGCGTTACGTTAATTCTACCCTTAGGGTAATCGGGAAAGCTACTCGAACAAACCGACATTTAAGCCAGGACCAAGAGCAAATGAGGAGTCCGGATCGGGTCACAGTGAAGCTGGCATGATCAGGAATTTCGTTTTCTAAATTCAAATCGCAGCTTTACCCACTGCAAGCTGTATGCGACTAAACAAATCAAACTAGCCCCTCTGAGCCTGCTTCCTGGCTGTTAAAGAATAATAATACCGCAAGCCTCACAGGCTTGTTACGAGGTCATGATCAGCAAACTAACACAATGTAAGAAGAGTTCTTTTCAGGAATTCTAAGAACAGGCTGAGACTTTAGGAAAGAACTCGGGGAAAGCCCAACCGCCTCAAAGCACGAGTACAGCCCACTGGCTGAAGTGCAGGCGGTGATTGGCTACTCAACTTCTCCGTCCCGCCCCACCAGGGCTTCCGGTCCAATCGTGGCCGGCTTTGTGCCTACGTAAGTTCCCAGGGACAACCAAGTGGGCGGTCCTCGTGACGTTAAGCTGACGCGTTACGTCACGGTGGGCGGAAGTCCCGGCCGCTGTTTTGAAATCAGGCCGCCGGAGTCTTGGAAGCTCCTGACATCGCGGAGGCCGGCAGCAGCCCACCAGCGGACGGACCCCCTGACGCTTACTTCCAAGCCCCGCCGGCCTGAGGCCGCAACCTCGCCATGTCCACCCCTCCGTTGGCGGCGTCGGGGATGGCGCCGGGGCCCTTCGGCGGGCCCCAGGCTCAGCAGGCCGCCCGGGAGGTCAACACGGCATCGCTCTGCCGAATCGGGCAGGAGACGGTGCAGGACATCGTGTACCGCACCATGGAGATCTTCCAGCTCCTCAGGAACATGCAGGTGGGAAGAAAGGCGCGCGTGCTCCTGGCTGTGCGTGGAGAGAGCCGGATGCTTCTTGGAAGAAAGGGGCGCTGGTTTAGTCGTTACGTGGGGCCCCTTGGTGTCAGCGGGGCTGTCCTGGGCAAACCTTAATTATAGGATCGCTCCATTTGCATTCAGAAGTATTTCCCAGTGATGCGCCTGTCCCCAAGATCCTGTGATGTAAGGGTGATGTTTTCCAGAGAGGACTTTTGAAAGACTGAACCCTCATTTTCTACATTCGCCCGGATTCTCTAATTCCTAGGCAAACTTTTGTACCTTTCAGGGTAAAGGTGGATCTCTCACTATTTAACCTCATTAGACTGTCTTAGGTTTCAAATCGTTTTCAAGTAAAATACTTTCTGAGGGTCTAAGGAGCTGAAGAATTCAGATTCTGCCAACCAGTTTTGTTAAACGTTTTTATTTTGGTATAATTGACATACAATTAAATACATTTATATAAAGTTTTGACATATGTATATACTTAGAAAACCATCACCCACCACCACCCCAGAAAGTTTCCTCATGCCCCTTTGAACTCTTTACTTCTGGCCCTTCCGTCCGCAGACAACTTCTGATTTGCTTTCTGGCACCATAAATTCGTTTGTATTTTCTAGAGTTTCATATAAATAAAATTATACACTATGTAGTTTTTTGTTTTGTTTTTTGGGCCTGGCTCCTTTGACTCAGGATGTATCAATAATTCATTCCTTTTGATTGCTTAATAGGGTTCCATTATGTGACTATATCACAATTTGTGTAACTGTTCATCTGTTGATGGGCATTTGGGCTGTTTCCACTTTGGAGCCATTATAAATAATGCTATGAATGTTTACCTAACAAATGTTTGTGTGAACACATGTTTCATTTCTCTAGAATGGATAGATGGGTAGGAGTGGAACTGCAACTGCTGGGTCATATGGCAAATAACTCTAATGTTTTGAGAAACTTTTCCAAAGTGGCCACACCATTCTGCATTCCCACCAGCAGTGTTTGAGGGTTCCAGTTACTCCTCATCTTGACAGCACTTGTTAGTGTATGTCTTTTTGCTTTACAGATTCATTCCCCCAGTCTGTGGCTTTTCATTCTCTTCACATGGCCTTTTGAAGAACGGACGTTTTAAATTTTGACGGAATCGAACTTATCAATTTGTTCTTTTACAGATTTTGCTTTTGGCGTCATACCTAAAAAACCTTTGCCTCACCCAAACTGACAAACATTTTCTCCTATTTGTTTTCTTTTGGAAGTTTTATAGTTTTAGGTCTATGATGCACACTGACTTTGTTTTCTTATATAAAATGGTAAATATGGATTCAAGTGCATTTTTTTGCATTTGGATATCCAATTATTCCAGCACCATTTTGCTTATCTTACTACTGTGTCATGTGGATATCATTCTTGTTTTATGAGGGTTCTGCCAGAGAAGTGAAGTGACTTGTCCAAAGCTAGTTGGTGATGGTAAATTTGAAACCAGGTCTTCAGACTCTTACAACTCTGATTTCAGTGGGTGTGCTATAAAAGTAATTTGAGTGCATAGAAATCTTAACCGTGTCAATACGCCGGTGTGAAACACAATACAAAGGGAATCCAAAAGAAGATATGAAATCTTTAGCAATCATTTTTAAAAATTAAGAGATTAATATCTAAAAATGACTAAAGTAGGATTAAATTATTTTTCAGAATTCGGTAAATATTTATTTTTACCCTGCTATATGCAAAGTACTGAATTAGGACTAGATCTTACGGCGGTCATTTATCAAGTACCTTCCTTGGTCAGGCACACTGTTGTAAGAACGTTTCTAAGAAGTCTTTTCACCCTTATTTTACAGTTAAGGAAACAGGCTTAAAGAGAGAACTGAAGAGGAACAAATAAGAGAGGGAGACAAACCATATGAGACTCTTGACTCCGGGAAACAAACTGAGGGTTGCTGAAAGGAGGGATGGGGTAACTCATTTGATGGCCATTAAGGAGGCCACGTGATGTGATGAGCACTGGGTGTTATATGCAACTAATGAACCATTGAACACTATATCAAAAACTGATGATGGTACTATACGTTGGTTAATTGAATTTAAATAAAAAAGAGAATTTACCAACACACCTAACTAGTAGTTCTTCCTACTACTCTCTTTATAATGCTAACTTGCTGTCCAACACTGTATGATTAACAGAGATATAATACACACCCATGACCTACACTAAGAGAACCAAACTCTTTCCAAAAAGTATTATCAATAACTAGATTACATGTGGTCATATATTCAAAACCAATTTGTAAGGGACTATGATAGTTATTTCTTTGGGCCTCTTATGTTGTGAATTCTGTGGTTTAACTAATGTAAGACCCTTTGACGTGTGTCATAATTGGCTGAAAAAGAACAATGTGATCCTTCGTTTCCCAAACACTGGAAGAAGTGGCACAAAACGGACTACATGTAACCTTGTTATTTCTTAATACATTTTTAAGGTATTAAAAAAATTTAATTATCTTCTATATTATTAATCCAGAAGGATGAAGTGCCATAAATACAAACCACTGAGATTATTTCTAAGTATTTGTTTTAGAGAAATGGTTCTTTATTTATTAGTTCTCCATTAGCCTCTTGAGAATTTGATGAAAAGTACAGATTCTCTTTTTTTTATTATTATGTTATGTTAATCACCATACAGTACATCATTAGTTTTGGATGTAGTGTTCCATGATTCATTGTTTGCGTATAACACCCAGTGCTCCACGCAGAACGTGCCCTAATACCCATCACCAGGCTAACCCATACCCCCAAGAGATTCTCTTCTGAGAAGAAGGCACATGTACATATTCTGAGTAAAATTTGAGGGGCAGTTGTATTCAAGGATTGCTAGGTCCCAGGTTAAGATTTCCTGAATAAGAAAATACTGCTTTGGTTTTGTTATCCTTTAAATCTTAAAAAAAAATTCAATATAAAATCAGAATTCAGAGATTAAAAGAGGACATTAAAGTGAACAGTATCCCTCCCATCCCTGTCTGCTGGCTGTCTAACCCCTTTCCACAGGCAATGAATGTTATTGCTTATTACTATTCTTATGTATCCCTCCAGATATTCTGTGCATATTTAAGGAAATGTACGTTTGTTCTTTCATTTTTCCCCTCTTCACACAAATAATATGTATCATACACAACACTTTGCACCTTCTTTTTTATTTGGTATATTTTGGATTATTCATATCTGTCCAGAATATATTTCCTTTTCCTTTTAAGGTGTATATACATTAATACATTGCATGGAAATACTGTAATTTATTCAACCAGTTCTCTAGGCATTTGGGTTGGTTTTAATCTCTCACTATTATGCTGCAGTGAATAACCTCCTACATAAATGTGCAACTATATCTGTAGGATAAATTCTTAGAAATGGCTTTGTGCTTCTGTAATTAGATAAATTTTGATGAATTGCCCTCCATGGGTGTTGTACCACCTTCTGCTACCATGTCCTAACCAAGACCAACAACCAGGCTCTAATAGCGAGTTATATTTTGGGACCTTGGATCATGTGATAGATGAAACTCTACATTCTTCTAGTTTGAATGAGTTTGAGCATCTCTTCATATAATATTTATGAATCATTTATATTTCCTTTTCTGCTAGCTACTTGTTATAACCCTCTCCCTCAATTTATAAGATTTGGTTATTTCCATATTAGAAAAAACTTGGTCTATGTGATAGAACTTGCAAGTATTTCTTTTCCCTGGTCTGTTGTTTGCCCTACTTATGGAAGTTCTGCCATACATATGTACTTTTTAAGGCAGCTGAATTTACCAGTCTCAGGACTTTCAGGTTCTCTGTCTAGTAAGGAAGGACTTTTCCCATCCCCAAATCAGGAAGATGTCTGGGTTTTGTTTCAATTTTTACATCTAAAACTTTGAACCATATGGAATTTATCCTTCTGTAAAGTGTGAAGTATGGCCCCAGCCCTACTTTTTCTAAAAGGGTGAATAATTTGTTTTCTTTCCTCCATTGGTTTCAGATGCTACTTTATACAAACGAATCTATTTGTGGATGCTCTATCCCATTTGGCTGCCTTTTATGTAGTAATCCCAAACATTCTTATATTTATTGTGATTCTGTAATGTGTTCACACTTATTTCTAAAATTGCCCTGGATGTCCTTATTTATTTTTCCACCTGTACTTTAGCATCAGCTTGATTAGTTTTGAGAAAAACCTGTTAGGGTTTTATTAGGTTGATTTAACCTGGAGAGATTTTACATCAGTGTGATGTTGAGTCTTACTAACCAAGAACACAAATATCTTTTTTTGTGTCCCTGTGAAGTATTTTAAGTTTTCATCTATATCTTGAAATTTTTAGAGTCTACTGGATATTTTATCTTTACTGCTGCTATTGTAAATGGTGTCTCTTTCCTTTCTCATTTTCATTTGTTTCCATATATGAAAGCAAAGCTATTTATATTAATTTTGTACCCACTCTTTCTTGACTACCTTTGTTGATAATAGCACTGTATCATATCATTTATATCATATCAATAAATAGTGATGATTATACTACTTCCTTTTTAATGTTTCAACTTTTTCTTTTTTTTTTTTCCAATTGCCTTGGCCAGTGCCTCCAGAACAGTATTCACCAGTAGTTTTAGTGGTCTTAGTAGACTTCCTGTTCTGTTCCTGACTTCAGTGAGGATGCTTTTAATGTTTCCACATTAATCATGGTGCTGACTTTTTAACTGAGATAAATGTATTTTATAGTGCTGGGGAATTTTTACTCAGTGTTTTATATTTGTTTTAAGACTGGATATTTAAGACTGGATATTTAGCCTTTTGGTGTCAAGGGGTGCGATCATATATTTACAGATACTAGTATTCAAGAGCGAGATGGTTACTGATGAGCTTTTCAGCTAAACATGTATACTACGGGTTTATATCAGGAGATCTTAGGCACTATTACAACTTATGTTCTGTGGTAGAGGAACCTTGTCTCCCTCATATTTACTGTGCTGTAGCTTCTCGATCAGTGCCTCACACATGCAAAGTGTATAAGAATTTTTCGAAGTAATTAAATCTTCCCTTCTTTGAAAATCTGATGCTGAGGCGCCTGGGTGGCTCAGTCATTAAGCGTCTGCCTTCGGCTCAGGTCATGATCCCAGAGTGCTGGGATTGAGCCCCGCATCGGGCTCCCTGCTCCACCGGAAGCCTGCTTCTCTGTCTCCCGTCTCCCACTCCCCCTGCTTGTGTTCCCTCTCTCGCTCTCTCTCTCTCTATAAATAAATAAACAAACAAACAAATAAATATTTAAAAGATAAATAAAATATTATAAATAAATAATAAAATATTAAATAAATAAAATATTAATAAATAAAATATTAAAAATAAATAATAAATAATAAATAATAAATCTGATGCTATCTATGAAAGGGTGAACTTGAGGAGGGTGATTCTTTGCATTTCAAAAGGATTTTGTTTTTTTTTATGCAGGGATTTACTTCTTTTACATAACACACACTTCTTAGTGAATTTTAAGTACAGATTTATGGATAAAATAATTCACTGAAGTAAAATAATTCAGACTGTACTTTAAAACCTTCCATGAGCGTTCACTATACTAAATACAGGGATTACAAATGTGAATAACTTAGTCTTCACAAGGTAGAAAATATAGGCCAAGTATTAAACCTAGTAAATAAAGGTACAGCTAAAGGTACAGTGCTTCTGTACACAAGATGTAATCATTATACTGTTTATTGTCACCCAAACAGGAAAGCAGGATCCTTTAAAACTTTTCTCTGATGGGTGAAAGTTCATAAATTGAAGGTTCATGAGAAATACTACATTGTGTTTAGTTTATCACCTTTGGAGGGATGAACTCACAATGCCTTTTCCCTTTTAAAAGTTTTGACTGATTCAGCCTTTGATGTTTTATCACGTTTCTTGGAATTATTGTCCTCAGAGTGTTTTAATGCTTGAGAATTTCTGAAAATCTTAATAAAAACTCATTTCTCCTTAACTTGTAAACCATAACACTGCAGGGAATTTGGATAGTAGTTCTAGCTATTGGATAGTAGTGTCTTAATTTTAAGGCACTTTAATCCCCAAGATAAGAATATGAGTGAACACTTATAATCAAAGCATCTCTTGTACTAGAAAACATGGTCTAAATAATGTTAATTCTAATGGTAGGATGATTTCACAGATCAAATTGTGGGAATAAAATATTGAACAGAATATTCTGATGTACAGAGATGTACAGAGAAAGGAATATTTTGTTCATGAGGTTCAGCAATGCACAAAAGGTATATTGAGTTATAAGTTCTAAATAATAGTCATTTTCCACGTGTCTGTGATTTTACCATTTCAGTACATACTTTTGGCTTTTTTTATATATAAAACTCCTGAATTAAAAATATATAAGCATCCAAGACAGAGCTATGATCATAAGCAGTTACTTGTAATAATTAACGGTGCTCAAGTGCAGATTGATTTGTACCTCTCTCTCCTGCTGTTGATTTCTTTTTTTAGTAAAACTTTTGGTGACAGCTTTGTTTTATTGCATGCCTTGAGCATCGTAATTACCTTATAGTTAAGGTATTTTGAGATTATTTTTTTATAGCAGCAGTATACTGTTCCTTTCTTCTGCAGAAAAGTCCTGATCTTCACTTTTTACTTTTCTTGTGCTGCTGCTTTTTTTTTTTAAAGATTTTATTTATTTGAGAGATAGAATGAGATAGAGAGCATGAGGGGGGGAAGGGTCAGAGGGAGAAGCAGACTCGCTGCTGAGCAGGGAACCCAATGCGGGACTCGATCCCGGGACTCCAGGATCATGACCTGAGCCGAAGGCAGTCGCCTAACCAACTGAGCCACCCAGGCGCCCAGCTTGTGCTGCTTCTTTTTCTTTAAATTTATTTTGTTTTTAACTTCCCAGTTGAGTTCAGCAGCTTGCTGCCTTTATGTAATAGTAATATTAAAATTGTGGCATTATTTTTAAAGTTATAATCTACTTCAAAAATTAGAGGGGAAAGTATTTGAACTGGTCAGAGAGGCCTATCATGAAGTTTTTTCTGGGGCTGTCTTACAGCACTGAAACAAGTACACCAAGGAGCTAACAAATGAGCAAGTATAATTCTTAAATTCTTAAAATTACCCTTGATTAAGTGTGAAGAACAGTTTGCTTTTATGCAGTGCTTAAAAAGTATTTCTGTTTTGCTAGCTTTACTTTTAGAAAATCTTGATTGTCGTTACTTCATATTTTTCTTATTTTTGTTTTGCCTGATAAGCTACCAAATGGTGTCACTTACCATACTGGAACGTATCAAGACCGACTAGCAAAGCTACAAGATCATCTTCGCCAACTTTCTATTCTCTTCAGGAAGCTGAGACTGGTCTATGACAAATGCAACGAAAACTGTGGAGGGATGGATCCCATTCCAGTGGAGGCAAGTTGTAGTGGTAGAGGGAGGATGAATGTAAGATGCCAGACATTTGTAATCTTTTCCTTTTTCTCCTTCTCTTTTCACAATATTTTCAGATTTCAAACTGTACTGGTTTTACTTTTGACTAGAGAAGGTGAAACTGATATATATGCATAGAATTAGTACTATCTTTTCATGTTAATAATTTGTAGATTTGAACATCCAAGCCTGTGGTGAATTTTTGTTGTTGGGAGGAAAGAGTGGTCTGTGGCAATTTTTATTCTTGCTGTCAGGGTCTGTTTAATTAAATCAGTGCATGATTTTTTTAATAGGAGTTTTAATAGTATTGTCAAATACTCTTAAACTGGTCTTCAAGGCAGTTCTCTATAGATGAAATATTATGTTTTCATTATTATTAATTTAGATTAGCTTAGTGGAATCACTTCTTTTTGAAAATATATTTCTTAAACTTCATCTTGTGTGGTCACAGATGTATTTTCGTTCACTAAGTATATGATATTTTTATAGGTGGCCCTTTCTGTTGACAAGTTCTATCTCTGCCAACAAAAGTAGCTGGGAAGGTTTGGATATTCTCTTACTACATATGGAGAACAATTTCATGTGACAAGTGCCTCCTTTCTGAGTGATCAGCATGTAAGGGATGAACAGAGGAAAGAGTAAACCGCAAAATGGCCTGAAAAGAAGTGGTCAGAGATACAGGAGAAAGATAAAAAATGGTGGGCGACAATGTCAGATGCTGGAGAGAATTCAAGGGAAATTAGGAATGAAAATTGTCCAGGAGATTTTGCTAGAGGAAAATTGTTGGTATATATAAGGAGAGCTTTGTTGAAAAATTTGTTAGCAACAAGAAGTCAGATTGCAGTGGGTTGAAGATTAAACAGGAAATAAGGAACTGGAGCTCACAAGTGGATATCCATCTTTCAAAAAGCTTAGATAAAAAGAGGAAAACAGTAGATGGAAGGAGGGTTGGTGTCAAAGGTTTTGGGGAAAGGAAAGGAAAAAAAGGGGGAGGGAAAAAAACCTTTAAATGAGAGAGACCAGACATGTTTAGATTGTAAAGGAAGAAAACAGTACGGACAGCTTGGGAGCAGGGAGATAAATAATGGAAGACAAGAGGATAAAGAAATCAGAGCACAGGAATGTAAATTAATCATCTTCAGGAAGGAGGACAGCTCTGCATTAGGAGAGAGGAAAGGAAGAAAGAGTGGTTGTTATATGAATGAGTTTATATTTGTCCCAAGAATTTGAAGAAGTTTGGCCAGATGACTCCTAGTTGTACCATTTGTTTACCTCTGGCTTGTTCCTGCATTGTTTTTTGTGTTTTTTTTAAAGATTTTATTTATTTATTTGAGAGAGAGAGAATGAGAGATAGAGAGCACGAGAGGGAAGAGGGTCAGAGGGAGAAGCAGACTCCCCGCTGAGCAGGGAGCCCGATGTGGGACTCGATCCCGGGACTCCGGGATCATGACCTGAGCCGAAGGCAGTCGCTTAACCAACTGAGCCACCCAGGTGCCCTGTTCCTGCATTGTTGACATAAGATGGTAGAGACCAAATGATTCCTAAAATCTCTGTCACATTTATGAGGGGCTTCAAATAAACCTTATCACAAACCATACATATTTCATTATAATTCTGCTAGATGTTTCATTGCTATATAAATTTTTTTCTCCTACAAAAAACTTTCTCCCAACTAAAAGAAGTTAAAACCTCTAGAAATTTGCATAAACACTGATGTTCTAGATAGCAAAGTAAATGACATTTATATAATGCACATCTGTGAAGTTCTTTTCTTTCTAGTATAGATGAAAGAAAGCCTGTTCTATCTCAATGGACTATAAATTTTTTAGGGGCAAGTACCACATCTTGTCATTTTTGCAGTATCTCACCCAGTGTCTGAAAGTTAAATATTTGCTGACTAAATGGATAGGCTATTACTTAACTGCATGTAACAACTAATGTTATAAGGGCTATTTTGCAAAAGAAACCTGAAAATAATGTATAGGAGGCACTGAAATGATAAACTTCTAATGCTGTTATTTTAGGCCATCACCTGAATTAAAATTTTTTTATATACTACTAAAAGAAAAGCATAAAAATTAACCTTAATCAGAGAGACTTTCTATACCAGTGTAATCGGAAACTTTGCATCATGTTTTTGACTTTTAACTCTTTGTCACTCCCAGCAACTAATTCCATATGTGGAAGAAGATGGCTCAAAGAATGACGATCGGGCTGGCCCACCTCGTTTTGCTAGTGAAGAAAGGCGAGAAATTGCTGAAGTAAATAAAGTGAGTTTTATTAGCCTGTATTTTATACTTCAGAATTATGGATAAAAATTACAAGGGAGTCTGTATAACTCAAAGACATAGTTTAAATTATAGAATTACACAAAGTTGTTTCTGTGGCAAATTTAACCTAGTTAGAGTATAACCAAACACTAAAAAGGTAAGTAGAAATGCCACTTGAATAGTCAAAAGAGAGATCACAGAATTCATTACATAAAACTCTTAGAAAAGCTTCATAGGCACTCAGTCACAACTCATTTACTTTTTTCTAGGCAGAATTCTGGCTTTTGAGCTTATAGCATATTTGGAGCAGCAAATGATAAAAATTTACAAATAGAAAATGTGAATATCTCAACACCTGAATAAGAAATTAAGAGTTATCCTTTAAAAAAAAAAAAAAAAAAAAGGGTGCCTGGGTGGCTCAGATGGTTAAGCATCTGCCTTCGGCTCAGGTTATGATCCCAGGGTGCTGGGATCGAGTCCCGCATCGGGCTCCCTGCTCAGCGGGGAGCCTGCTTCTCCCTCTGACTCTCTCTCTCATGAATAAATAAATAAATTTTTTAAAAAAAAAAAGAAATTAAGAGTTATCAAAGCATTAGACAACACCACCCTCCATCTTGCAAAAGTTCCTAACTTGAATGTATTTATTACTGAATACTTTTAGAAGTTTAGAAGATAATGTTCAGATAGTTCTTGTGAAACAAAAAGATACAGGGAAAGTTGTCAGTTCATTCTGTGGTGGAAATATGGCCCACACTTACCAAAACGTAACAAATAGCACAATAAATAAAACTACCAATCTCACTAATTCACTTACAAATACACACCCCTCCACCACCTGTTCTGATCCTGAAATTCTTAATTCTAGTTAATAGAATTCATCGGGGTATTAACAATTAATCCATCACAGCTAAAAAGGGGTTTTAAACATAATTTAGTTTATGTGTATAATACATAATGTCAGTAGATTAAATTGGAAAAAAAATTTTTTTTCTCAGATCTAAAAGACATTTGATAGAATTCAAATGTTACTGATTCAAAGAACACTTAAAACTATTAGTCTTATAAAAAAAAACTTATTTCAGATAAATAGCCAGCATTTTTATACAGGTGAAATATAGAACTAGTTCTGTTAAAGACAGGCCTAAAATAAGATGCCTTACACCACTGTGTTTATTATTATCCTAGAAGTTACAGTCAAAACAGAAAGAAAGGAAACAGAAACAAACTTTGGGAAACAGGGGTTATAATATTATATACAAGCTTGTTAAGTTTGTACATAATATTATAACTCAAGCTTGTTAAGCTCAAAGAAAGTTGACTAACAACTAGAGTCATGTAGAGTTTGATAAAAGGGCTTAATACGAATGATACCATTTTCTTATAATGCTATAAACCAACTAGATTATAAGATCCAATTCACAATTGCAACAGGTATTAAGTAGTTAGGAATTATCAATGATATATGTGACTAAACTTATACATAAAAGAAGTTTTGAATAATTAAAAGAACACATGAAGTTCTTGCATGGGCAATAAATATTCTAAAAATGCCAGTCTTGAGTATGAATTCTCTTGAAAGTACACAAAATAATAAGATTTTAGTGCAATACCAATGAAAAAAACAAGTCCAAATTGGAATTTGTGTGTGTGAACATACTAAAACATCAAAGAAAATTCTCATAAGAGTAATAAAACAACTCTTTGCTTCAAAAATTAAAACATGATATGGACAATATTATAAAAAACAATAACTGTGAAATAATGGTACAGAATAGACAGATTAGTAAAATAATAGCCAGAAAAATATTCTTCCTATTGTATATGAAAATTTATTATGTCAGAAGAGGGATTGTGTGGAAAATTTGTCTTTAAAAATAGAAACTTTGGGGGGAGATTATCTAGCTTTTACCTTATACCCTATGTCAAAATTAATTTCAGAGACCTGAAAAACAAAATATTGGAAAATTAAGAGAAAAATGTGTATCAAAACACAGGAGAAAGGAAAAAGCTGGATTTTATAAAATTTTAATTTTTTCATTAAAAGGAGAGATACAAATTAAGAATATTTCCAGCAAATTTGACAGTAAGGAATGAGCATAAAGAACTTCGAGTAAGAAATTTGTAGGGAGTGAGGAGGGGATTGGGGAACTTCTAATTTATATCTTGAAGAATAAATGGCATTTGGTAGTCTGGAGATATGAGGCATTCATTTTTAAGAAGTGTTACAGGTTTCTGTTATTATTTCAAATTTTATCATAATTATCAAATAAATAATTCATTAATTATCAAATAATCCATTAAAATGGATTAATTCACAGATGTGCTGTTATTTTTCTCTGTAATAAGGATGTTTTTTATAAGATACAGTGAAATATGTATATAAATAAAACAGTGTTATAATGGTAACTTTGATTTCAGAGCATGTGACATAGAGTTTGTTCTCTACCATAGAAGATTTTATGATATTTTAGAAAAAAAAGTCTGTGTAAATTAGGAAAGATATAATTTTTCTAAATATATGTTTCATTTCACCTTTTATTTCTCTGAGTTGTTCTTTTTTCCAATTTGATGGCTTAGAAATAACTCACTCTTGATTTTCTTTAAAAGACCTTTCATATAATCAGAATACAATAATACTTTGACAGTGTATAATCAAAAAAATTCTATTAGCTACTGATTTAGAATTTTGTGAAGGATATAATTGGGTATAAGGGAAGGGTATAATTGATGCAAAGGATAAGATGTATAAAAAAATTTCTTTCCACACTTGAGAATTTAGCTTTTATCCAGTCTCTCTCTCCTGGACCCACCTACATACTTCCTTCCCCCAGTCTTTTCAATGCAGTTATATCATAATTGGCGTTCAATAATAGTCTGTGTTTTTATTATTAAGACACATAAATATTGTTTATTGGTTAGCCACATAGTAAACTAGGGTCACATTTCCTTGAACAATTTTTTGTCCTCCTGGAGTTAATTCTGTAATTTTTTAAAATTTTTCATTCTTTATGCATCTGGGGCAGCATCTCAGCACTGTTTTCTAACTTTTCCACAGAGTCAAAATTATCAGGCACTTTAATGGTTCTTTTTTCCTCCCTAGAGTTTTCCATCTTCTTGATAGGTCTGGATTAAATGTTCTCTAGGCTTGCTGTTCAGCACTGTCCTGGGGCCTCCTTCACCTCTTCCGTTGGCTTCACTGTTTCCTCAGCCTCGTATCTTCCTCTTTCTTGGTTTACTGCTTTATTGGTAAGGTACATACATCAGTGGCTTCTTCGGAAGGAATGTAGGGACTTAAGTTTTAGTCCTCCCAAAGCTGTCCACTTGATAGTTTCGCTGGCTACAAAATTCTATGTTGTAAATTTATTTCCATCAGAAATTTGAAGGTATTCTTCCATAATCTTCTCAAATAGGGTTTGGCAAACTTTAAAGGACCAGATAATAAATATTTTAAGTTTAATGGGACATATATGATCTTTGCTGTAATGTAAAAACCATCCTTAGCTCACAGGCCTTACAAAAACAGGTCATGTGCCATAGATTGCAACCCCTGTCTATTTCATTTTGTTGTCTTTCCAGATGGAGGCTCTGAAAGATCTGGTGAACTCTGATGCTTAATCATAAGCCATTTATATTTAAGAATGAGACACTAGAAAGCTAATACTAGGCTTTGTAAGTAAGTGGACTTAATCATGTTGAGTTTGGGAAGCAAGTTGGCTTTTTGTGGGGGGAGACCCCCAACTATCATTTTCTGAGGGTTTTTTTTTTTTTTCTTTAAGGCTGTTTAGTTTCTTCAGAAAAGAATCTTCCAGTGCCCTACACAGAGAGATTTGCTCTTGTCTTCTTGCCTTCTGCTGTGCTGGTGACACTGAATCCACAGCTGTTGTGGTTCAGTTTCATAGGAAACAAACCTCCTAATCCTTAGAGGTGGGGTGGGGCACGGGGAGAGAGTACTCAGTCAGTCACCTACTCATCAGGAGTGGAAGTGAGCACCTGGCACTCTTGCTAGTCCCTGGAGCTCTTTCAGGTGTTCCTCCAGTTCTTATCCCCAGGCCTCACCTGGGCTGTTGGCCATGGCACCCGCCTCATCTCCATGGAGGGGCAGCCCTGTTCTCAGTCATGCTGTCCCTGAATCCACCTGGGCTGTAGTTTCCTCCCAAGTCATTTACCACTCCCCTTCTACTTTTCCTCTCAAACTACCACCTCGCATCTGCTACTGTCTCCTTTGTGATCATTTTTCTCCACATAGGATTATAGGTTTTTCCATTCCTCTCCTGCCATTTTATTAGGGTTTTGAGAAAAAGAAGAGAGATAAACACATGTATTTAGTCCACAGTGTTTACCTACAACAAGTTGATTTCAATACACAAAATAGATATACAGTATTTCTGAAGATTTGTCTATTTATGGAATAAAAGCCCATATGCAAATTTTGTGTTCCCATTTATACTTCAGGCATTTAAGAACTCTTTCTTTGATTAAATCATTTGAATCTGCTGATTTTGCTGTTATAAGTGCTTCTAACTTTGGGATAAAACTTGTTTTAGTTAACATATTGAACTGAAGGTTATTACAAAGAAAAAAGAATTTATTTAGATGTTTTAATTGAAAAGATTTAAAGCTTAGCCCTGTATATCTCTAGGAATTCTTTTTTTAAAGAGAATTTAGGGGGAAAATATCTTGAGTGGCCGGGGAAGTCCTCATTTGATGGCCTCACAGCTCTCTCTCCCTTCCTAGGAACTGTTGTTATATTTTGAAACAGGACTAGAACATTAGGTAGTAAACAAGAGGTTTAAAAAAAAAGGGAGGGGGGAGGACTAAGATATGGTTAACTCAAACTAAAATCCAAAAAATAAAGAAGACAGGAGAGATTAAACAGCTAAAAACCAAGCAGAGTGGATTTTTTTAACCTAAAGATGTCTGTGAATTGAATATAACACATATTTTGACTCTTAACAAAGTTATGTATTTTTTTTTTAAGATTTTTATTTATTTAAGAGAGA